AGGGACCCTACATCGTTTTGCTTACCACCCCCACTGATTCAGCCACTGCATTAGAATGGACCGCGCACCGCACTCAAAATCATTTAAAGATAAGACTCTCTCGTACACCCTTCTATTGATTGTTTGTCTGTTTATCCCCCATGAAACTACCAGTCCCCACCGGGTTTACAATATTACCTGGAAAATAGCCAATCTAGGGACCGGGGAAGTAGCCAACCTCAGCACTTATATAGGGACTCTACACGATGGGTTCCCTCCTCTCTATGTCGACCTATGTGACTTAGTGGGGTCTGATTGGAATCCCTCGGACCAGGAACCATTCCCAGGGTACGGATGCCATCACCCTGGGGGAAGGATGAGAACAAGAGGAAAGGATTTTTATGTCTGCCCCGGTCATAAACCAACCGATAAATGCGGGGGGCCACAGGAGGGATATTGTGCAAGCTGGGGATGTGAGACCACAGGAGATGCTTATTGGAAACCCTCCTCCTCTTGGGACTTCATCACCCTCAAACGGAGGGAAATCCCAGGGTATATAGAGACAGGATCACGGAAATGTGGGCTTAAAATCTGTGGACCCTGTTATGACAGTACCAAAGGGGGAAACATTAGAGGCGCCACCCCCGGAGGAAGATGTAACCCTCTCATCCTAAGGTTCACAGATGCCGGAAAAAGGGCTACTTGGGACAGTCCTAAAGTCTGGGGACTCCGGCTATATCGAGCAGGGAAAGATCCGGTTACCTTGTTCTCCCTGTACCGGCAAGTTACTCCCCTAAGCAATCAGTCGGGCCAAACCCAGTAATAGCGGACCAGAGGGCCCCAACCCAATTCCAAGTCCCTAAACCCCCTACCATCCCTAAAGCTGTCACTCCTACCCCAGGTCCTGTTATCTCCTCCTCTTCCCAAGACGCCCCAATCACCGAGATAACCAGGGACCCCCCTGGGTACTGGAGATAGATTATTACAATTAGTCCAAGGGGTCTACCAAGCCTTAAATTTCTCAGACCCCAACAAGACTCAGGAATGCTGGCTATGCCTAGTTTCCCAGCCCCCATATTATGAAGGTATAGCAGTACTAGGCAGCTATTCTAACCAGACCTCAGTGCCTACCAGTTGTGGAGCTGCCATGCAGCACAAGCTCACAATGTCCGAGGTCTCAGGAAAGGGACTATGCATAGGCAAGGTTCCTCCCTCACATCAAGAGTTATGTAACCAAACAGAGCCATTATCTCAAGACAGCCGATACCTTATTGCCCCTTATGGAACTTATTGGGCTTGCAGTACTGGTTTGACTCCCTGCGTCTCTACCACTGTCCTCAATGCAACCATTGACTTTTGTATATTAATAGAACTTCGGCCCAAGGTCACATACCACCAACCTGAATATGTTTACAATGTACTAGAGAAATCAACCCGACATAAACGGGAACCAATATCCTTAACCGTGGCCCTATTATTAGGAGGAATAACTATGGGAGCAGTAGCCGCTGGAATAGGGACTGGTGCGGTTGCCTTGCAGGAAACTGGTCATTTCAAACTTCTACAACAAGCCATGCATACAGATATCCAGGCCCTAGAAGAGTCAGTCAGCGCCCTGGAGAAATCCTTAATATCACTCTCTGAGGTGGTCCTGCAGAACAGACGAGGATTAGATTTATTATTTCTACAAGAAGGGGGACTATGTGCTGCCCTCAAGGAAGAATGCTGCTTCTATGCAGACCACACAGGAATAGTTAGAGACAGCATGGCCAAACTTAGAGAAAGACTTAAGCAGAGGCAGCAGCTATTTGAATCTCAACAAGGATGGTTCGAGGGATGGTTCAATAAGTCCCCCTGGTTCACTACCCTTGTATCCACACTCATGGGACCTCTGATTATTCTATTTTTACTCCTCATATTTGGTCCCTGCATTCTAAATAAGATGACTCAATTCATCAGAGACGACTATCTGCCATACAGGCCTTAGTCTTAAACCAACAATACCACCAGCTAAAGCAAATAGATCCAGAATATCCAGGGACCTCCATACAGGCCTTAGTCTTAACCCAACAATACCACCAGCTAAAGCAAATAGATCCAGAATATCCAGGGACCTCTGAATGAAAGATTCCATTCAGTTACAAGAGAAATGGGGGAATGAAAGACCCCTGCCCCATAAGCTCCCTCTCTTGGGCTAGCTAAATTACAGACCAAGAGACCAAGACCACCCAGAACCGTTTCTGAGAATAAAAGGTCAGGGCGTTGGGACAACTTGTTTGCCAAACAGGATATCTGTGGTCAGCCATCTGGACGCATAAGGAGCAACTGCCGGGTCTGTCACAACCACTGTGTACCCTAGATAGAGCCTAGTCAGCTTTATCTGATTTTCATATGCTGAGAACATGCTGACCTAAATTGACCCTGCGCCTCATTTGAATTGTCCAATAGAATCCCTGTAACTATGCTCTTTGCTTCTATACTGTGCTTTTTGCTATATAAGGAACCCTCTCCCTTGGCTCGGGACGCTTGGCCTCACAGAAGCTAAGTCGCCCCGCGTACCCGTGTCTCCAATAAAGCCTCTTGCAGTTTGCATCCAAGTATACCTCTTCTGGGGTCTTTCATAACAAGTTAGCAGCTCTAGAGGTAGAAATTACTAAGTCTTGTGTATTGGCAATATCTGGCCTGGTGACAAAGACCTGTAATCCCAGCTTCCTAGGAAGTCGAGACTGGATGATGAGAAATTCAAGGCTTGCTTGCTTCACAAAGGCAGCCTAGGGGTAACTCAGTGAGACCCTGTCTCAAAATTAAAAATAAGTCTGCGGTTATAGCTGCGTGGTAAATGCATGAGGTCCTGAGTTCACTCCTCAGTAGCAACAACAAAATAATTTTTTAAAAACTTGCACAACACCTCTTTTGTTCTCGGATACATTGTGTATTCATCCGGAACAGGAACCCTAAACTTTGCTTTATTGCTATTGCTTTGTATTAAATTTGTAATACTTTTCAAATAAAATTGTCGTCTTCGAGTCACGGTTTGAAACAGCTTATTCGTTCCTAGTTTCTTCAGTGCCCGAAACCAGGTAACTCTAGGGAATCTGAAGTCTGATTTGTAGATCGGATTCTGTCACGTAATCTTGAAATGAGAGACATGTTTTTATTAAACCACCTATCACAATCCCTGGTTCTGCGCGCCTCGGTAGCTGTTGGGGGAGTTGGGTGGGCTTTAAGTGCTGCCTTGCAAATTTAGAACTTGCTCCCTAAGAGTGAACGCAGGGACACCTCCAGACTGCAAGCTTAGGCTGCAGCCGCTGTAGTGGGTAGTGGAGGGGGGGGCTAGGTGCAGGCGCAGGCGCAGGCGCAGGCGCAGGCGCAGGCCCTCCGACATGCTCCAAGCCCAGGCAGGGCTGCGGGGAAGGAAGCTCCGCCTCGGGAGGACGCGGATCCTATGAGGTGGGGCGGGAGGCGGGCCGGAGGGCGGAAGGAGTCGCTTCACGTGAGCAGGTGGGGCGGGAGAGGAGAGGGAGGGCGGTGCGGAGGCCCAAGCGGCGGAGCCTCCCGGACGGCGCTCGGCGGCAGCAGGTCTGGTATGGTCGCCGTTCCCCTCCTCTCACCCTGGTCTTCCGACCCCGGAGGCGGGGAGACTTCCACCGCCGAGGATGAAGCCCTGCTGCCTTCTCCTCCTGCCGGGTGGGGTCGGGTTGCGGGGGGAGGGGGGACTCCCTCGACGGACCGAGTTCTGAGGGGAGCGTAGAGTGGGTGTGGGAAAGCGGTCACGGCGTTCAGATGGCGCATGCGCGGGCCCTACCCTCCGGGAGCCCCTGCCCTAACCGGTTCCCCTTGTCTGGGTGGGTGTCTGTCTCGCAAGCCCTGCAGCTGCTGCCTTAGGCGAGGTCTCTCCCCTCCCAGCAAAGCCAGTTTCTCTTTATTTCTTGTTTGGGGATTTGCTGGTGTCCGCCGCCTCAGTTTCCCCCGTTGCCCACTAGGTCGGTGTGTGTGTGATTGAGGTTGGCTTGGGCCTCCGGCTGGCTTCTCTGACTGCGCCTAATTTGAAAGACTGGCTGTCTTTCAGTGACGCTCTGCTTTCTCTTACTGGTGTTTTCTGCCTCATACTCTCCACCTGCAGTTAAAGTGTCTTTGGCATCGCACTCTTTCCGTCCACGAGAACAACTGCTTGCACCAGCGCCTTGTTGTTTCTTGATTTTCAGCACCTTTCGGGGTTATGTGAGTCAGCCCAGAGGCTATCCCCAGCCTACCAGGAGTGCGCTGTCCATTCCCTGATAGTAGTCAGGACCATAGACCTTTCAAATACATACATTTGTACTCTGCACCTGTTCTTGCAAGCATACCCATACCTGTGGTACCCGAAAGATCTGCTTATCTTGGAGGCACAGGTCCTAAGTGAACTGTTAAACTGCTCATGCTTGTGGCACTCTTTTTAAAACCGTGCTCCAATTCCAATTTGAGATTTGGGGGTTGGGGTCTCACTCCCCCACAGGAGAAAACTGTCAAGGACAGGGTTTCACAGTATATTTGGTAGTTTCATTTAGATCAACACCTGTGTTTGCATTCTTGTGGATAGAAAGTGATGTAAGTATATCACTTGACTTCCAGCTGCATTGTTTATTTAGAGAAACAATGGAAGGTAGTGAAACTGTCAAGTTGAAAAGTCATTTGGGAAAAAAAAAACTTTGGTGCCAGGGAAGTGTATAACTTTTTAGTTTTTCAAGACAGGATTATTCTGTGTACACCTGGCTGTCCTAGAACTCGCACAACCACCAACTGGCACATGTATAACTTTTTAATGTAAGCTAAGGTCTTGTCTTAATTCATATCTACATATGTTGCTATAGATTATATTGTATATTGAAGAGTTAACCAAAGATTACTTAAGTGAAAATGAACAAAGGAGAGAATTATTTCTGATCTTCTTTATAGGTCTAAATTTGAATTAAAATTTGAGTGCATGATTGATTTGAATATACTTATATTTTAATTTACATATCATGCTCAGTGGTTGAAGTAGGAGGATCATGAGTTCAAGGCCCAGCCTGGGCTAAATAGTAAGGCTCTCAAAAACAACAACCTCCCAACCCCCCCAAAACAATTTACATGTAATTTTAATATGAAATATTAGTCAGTTTCATGATTAGAGTTGGCCATATTGCTATGTTGTGCATTTTCTCATTTCTTCAACTGTGTGTGAATGTGTGTGAGTGTGTGTGTGTGTGTGTGTGTGAGAGAGAAGAAGGGAGGGAGAGAGAGAGAGAGAGAGAGAGAGTCTGAGCTAAAAAGCAAAGCAAAACACAGTGTTGGGCAGGACAGTGTGCCTTGGTGGTAGATTTCAGAATTGCAGCGTTAGCCAAGCAGACTTACACATACACTCAGAAACACAATTGAAGAAACTGTTTTGACACAGGCTGTTCTTAATTATCTTTGCAACTTCCAATATTGCCGGATATCATTAGATTTCTTTAGCAAGTAAATGAATAAGTACAAGATTCAGTATTTTCTTGTAACTAGAACTCTGTTTACTTTCAGGTCCCTATTTGATCATATATCTAAATCATTTTGGTACTTTGTATGTATTGCATTTTTTAACCAATTTTTCATAATCTTATGGAAAAACGTTTAGAGATAAGGAATAGATACCCATGTATATTCCTGAAAGGAAAATGCTACCTCACCTAAGACTGTTTAGGAATGTTTTCATTTCTTCACAAACTGGTTACCTGGTTGTCCTCTGGCACTTTCTTCCTTTTATGGTGTTGTTAATCTTTAAAAAAACAAAAACAAAAACGTAGCCAGGTGAGAGTGGCAGAGGCAAGAAGAAGAAGAGGAGGAGGAGGAGGAGGAGGAGGAGGAGAAGAAGAAGAAGAAGAGAAAAAAATAATATTGCCGGGTGTTTACACTTAGATTGCAGCCACCGTTGTTGACTCTTCTTCTTGATTTTTTTTTCGAGACTGTGTTTCTCTGTGTAGCTTTGGAGCCTATTCTGGCACTTGCTCTGGAGACCAGGCTGGCTTCGAACTCACAGAGATCAGCTTGCCTCTGCCTCCCGAGTGCTGGGATTAAAGGTATGCGCCACCAACGCCCGGGCCGTTGTTGACTCTTAACAGCCTTGTTCCTTTTCATGTGTAAAGATTGACCACATATGGAATTGTGTAAGTTATGAGCATGCTCCTTTGTAGAGTTTGGCCTAGAAGTTTCCTTTCTCTTTTGAGTTGACCAGTACTCTGAAGACTCTTTCAGAGTAGAGTTTTATAAGGCCCAAGTATCCCCATCCCTTCTTTCAGTCATTATAAAGTAAATAAGACCCTAGTTCTTTTAAATTCATTACTAGCACTAAATACTTGGCAGTAAAATATGAAAATAGATTTTAATTGTTTGGCTAGGCTACCAAATTTAGAGGTTTGTACTTCCCCAAGAACCCAATGCATACTTGGTAAGAATTTCTGAAGGCACTGGGTTTTGCTTTC